TGGCATGAAAGACCTGGCAAGAAGGCCAGGTGGGAGAAGGACGGGCCTCTCTGGACACCTGCACATCCTGGTTCAGCCCAATGCTTGTTCCTGGCCCCCAGACTCACACCGGACCTCAGGAGCTGGTGGGATCGGCTCCTGACGCTATATTACTGGATGGGGACTATATCCCACACGTCCACACACAGGAATCAGGCATCTGGAGGAATTTCTGGCTGATGTGCCTGTGCTAGTTCCTTCATCTTTCCATGTCCCGTTTCACATTTGTGATATAGGAAATGCTACCTGAGGGACTGAGAAGATTAAGTGAGGAGGTCATGCAAGTAGCCTGGTGCTGCCCTCCCAGAGGTTGGGGGCCAGGGCCTCTATGGATGAGAGAGATGGGCCAAGCACTGCTGTCCCTGGCACTTCCTCTGTCGCTTGAGTTGCCTTTGAATGTGTGGATTGAACCATACATAGGACCCTCTGAACAGGAATCGGGAGAGCTTCTCAGGCTGAAGAGTCCATGGTTTTACTCTGGTTTAGGGTGATTCTCCCCAGAGGACCCCCATGCTACTTAAGTGCTGGTTGGTGCTCTGTGAATGGTTGAATGAATGAGACCAGTGTGAGGAGGAAAAGGTCATAGAGGCTAAAACCATTTGCAGAACTGAGAGCCTTAAGTACCCTGACCCCTATCAGAGGCCTTCAGATGGCACTGTAGGTCTTTCCATTTTTGTCTGCAGAACAAGCTTGGAAATATAAATCCTGAATCAGTATCTCAAACGTATTCCAGCTCTTTCTTCTTCATCAAGGTGCGTGCATTAGCTTCTCCTCTGCCATGTCTTCCCACAAGACTTTCAGGTTCAAGAGGTTCCTGGCCAGGAAGCAAAAGCAGAACCGGCCCATTCCACAAAGGATTCGCATGAAAACTGGTTATAAAATCAGGTACAACTCAAACAGGAGACATTGGAGAAGAACCAAACTGGGTCTATGAGGAATCACACATGAGAGATGACTCACATATTTATGCTGTGTCCAGGTTGCATACACCGTTAAATGATTAAAAAGATCGGTACTATCTGAACAGTTGGGGCACTTTAATTGGAAAATTAATGGGCTCATGATTCTGCTCTGTTGATTTTTTTTTCTTCAGTAGTAGGTTGGTTCAGTGGTAAATGTGTGAGACCTTTTAAAAAAAATAATAAAAATAACACGTATTACAAAGAGGAATTATTTTTGTTCACAAAATGCCTTGGGCCCTAGCTAGTTTGAATCAGTGGATAGAGCATCAGACTGCAGAGCGAAAGGTCCCAGGTTTGATTCTGATCAAGGGCACATACCAGGGTTTCGGGCTGGATCCTTAACAGTGGGCGTGCAGGAGGCAGTCAATCAATGATTCTCTCTCATTATTAATGTTTTTATTGCTCTCTCCCTCTCCCTTCCTCTCTGAAAGCAATAAAAAAATATATTTTTTTAAAAAGGCCTGGGGCTCTACTGGGTTAGAAATGGTTAGAAAAACATCATTTGCCGAAACCGGTTTGGCTCGGTGGATAGAGCGTCGGCCTGCGGACTGAGGGGTCCCGGGTTTGATTCCGGTCAAGGGCATGTACCTGGGTTGC